GCAGAGGCCTTCTTTTCTGGGGGGATGTAAATGTCCTGCAGGTGAGCGTGGGGATGGCCGCACAGCCCTGTGAATGTTCCAGAAACCACCGAGTCGCCCACTGTCGACGGGTGAATTGCACGGTGCGTGAGTCACGTCCCAGCTGGGCTGTCACACAAAGGAAGAGGGCACCCTGATCCCCGGAGCCGAGAGCAAAGGCAGCAGGGGAAGCCACGCCCAGAACGTAAGAGACTCTACGTGAAGAGGAGGGAAGGGGAGTCACCCCGCCCACCCCCGGAGCGACACGGAAAAGAGAGGAACACACGACAGGCAGAGGAACCCTGAGAGCTGGATGGGGCTCGGGGAGCAGGAAGTCACGCGCCCCGTGGGGCTCCCACGTGGGCATCACGGAAGCACCTGGCGTGATGAGGGGCTGAGACTGTTCTCTGTCGCAGCAATCCGTGACCCAGCGCCGGGCGCTGGAGAAACTGGCACAGAACACGGGTGACACGTCCCGCGAAACACACACACACAGCCAGTGGGGAAGGGATGTGAGAGTCGTGGCGTGTTCCTACCACAAGATGGTGCACGGAAGCCAAAATGAATGAGCTACACCTACACGCCTTGACACGGACAACCGTGAGACACACGGCTGAAGGGAACAACCAAGCAGTGAGCAACACCCTTGTGCGGCAGCATTCGGGCCGAGTTCGGAAGCTCGCACGCGTGTCCCCGCAAGGGACGGTAGGTCCAGGTTCGCTGTGCTCAGCAGACGCCACCTGGAACGGGGGCTGACGCGGGTCAGGGAGGTGCAGAGAAAGGCCTGAGCCTTCCTGACGCCTTCCGGAAGCCACGAGCATCACGATGGAGGCGGGTCTGTGCTCTTCAGCACCTCAGGATGGAAACTGGAGCAAAAGTCCTCGCTGTGTTTTGGAGTCTCAAGAATTTAAGTACGAATCAGATTACAAACCTCTAAACATGAGCATAACCATGGATGTACACACGTCCCATGGTCACATATGTGACATCCCGGCCTCCGCCGAGGGCGACACGAGCTGCAACACGCGCGCGACACCCACCTTGGCCACGAGGCCCATGTTCTCCATGGTGGCCCTCTCGTGGGGGAACTGCGCAAAGGCCCTCTCGATCTTCGCGATGACGGCGTCCACGTTCACCGTCTCCTTCGGGCGTCCCCGCGGGAAGTAGAAGGCTGGAATGCTTTGGCTCGCGGCGGGCGGCAGCGGCTCTTCCTTCTTCGTCTGCACCTGAGGAACGCAACACGCAGAACCCGTGAGAACCAGAGGCCGCCACGCAGCTTCCCCGCACAGACACGCAGGAACACACGGGGGACCTGTCTAGAGTCGAGCGCAAGTCCAGAGGGCGCCAGACGATCGCCGGAGGCTGACGCGACACTCGGGACTCCCGTGCAGAGGCCGCCTGCCCACGGGAGGCTGCGGGACCCTGAGCGGCCGCTACACCAGATCGCTGAGCCTCCCCCTCCTGCCTCAGTGTCAGCTGGGGGACCAGGATGGCCGAGCGCCCCAGGGTCTAGGCAGGACCCGCTCCGCTTCCTGTGGAGAAGCCACCCTGGGACCCCCCCCTGGGAGGTGCAGGACCAGCGCAGGGCCGTGGACGGGGAGGTCACTCGGTGTAGCACTGTGGACTGGGGCTGGGGACCGGAGGCGGGAGGAGGACACTTGGCCTGGGACTGTGGCCAAGGTGGGGTCACTCGGCACCGGGCCACGGGCAGGGGCTGTCGCTCGGCACAGGGCCGTGGATGGAGAGGGTCGCTCGACACAGGGACGCACGGTTGGGCTGCCCCCCCCCCCCAACCGCCTGCAGCTGGACCCTGGGCTCGCTCTCCCACCCGAGCACCTCCCAGAGAACAGGACACGCATCTACCCCCGGCCTAGAAGACGGGTCTCGGCCCTGCTGTCTCATTCCTGCCAGGAAGAGCACAGGCAGGGATTGGCCGCACAAAACCAATGCTGACCCCGTAGGCGTCTGACTCTGAGCTGCGTGAGTTTCTGCCACGGCTTCCGAGGACACGCGGGTCTTAGGACGCCCGCCTGGCTGAGGACCCGCCGACGGGCTGTCGGTTACGGGTGGGCACGGCGTGCTCTGCGTGCAAACACAGCTGGGTTCTACATGTCCCGAGTGGAAGTGACCGTTCGGTCAAACCACGTAAAAGGCCTATTGGCGGCCGCGAGCCGGGCACCACGGGGCCTGGCAGGAGGCCCACCGAGACTGCTTGGTGGCTGTGCTCGATGACCTCCGTGCCCACCCCGAGAGCGCCTTCCCCGCACCAGAGACAGGTACCCTGGGACGTGCGTGGCTCAGAGACGGCCACGGAGACCCCACGTGGGCCGGCCCCACCAGGGAGCCATGGAGCACAGCCAGCCTGCGGCCCTCGCGAGCCGTGGTCCACACCCCGGGAGACAGACGGACATAGGACAAGTGCCGGCACAGCCGAGGCAGGGGGAGGGTCGGCATCACGGCCCTGCTGGGAGTCACACAGCCAGGCCCCTGGCAGAGCGGAGTGCCCGGTGTCCTGGGGACAGCCATGCCCGCCAGGACTCGCAGCACCCAGCAGGCAGCAAACTGCTGTCACCAGGTCTATAATGTGGGTCCAACACACGCTCAGCGGGCTACGGTGTTCACGACGTGTCTCCAACACCAGCGAGGTGGATGTTATTATCTCAGCCCTGCGACAGGGGAAACCTCCTGGCTCAGTCCACAGCCTGAGCAACAGTGCCATGCCCCCCTCAGTGACACATGAAACAGTGCCACGTGCCCCTCAGTCACACCTCAGACACGGGGACACACCCCCTCAGTCACACAGTCTGATACAGGCCTGTGTCCCCTCAGTCACCCTATCAGACAGGGGCCACGTCCCCTCAGTCCACGTGTCAGACGTGGCGCCGTACCACGACAGAGGTGGCGCGTGGCTGATGCTCAGGGATCTTGTGTTACGGGAGAGCCCCGCTGGGTCCTGCGTAGCTCAGGGAACGCCATGTGGACGTGAGCCTGGTGACCGTGGCAGGCAGGTGAGACGCTGGCCTTGGGCCACGAGACCACGGCAGGCAAAAACCCAGCAGCGCGGCACCGAGTGCAGCGGTCACCTCTGCCGCGAGGCGGGGGGCCAGGTGAGGGCCAGACAGAGCGAGGACAGGCACGGCCTGAAGAGCTGCCAGTCCACCCCGGGGCCAGGGACGGGCCCTTTGGCGGCTGTCGTGGGCGAGGTGGCCCTGGGGAGGCTGGAGCCGCAGACCAGAGGAGACACGGACTGGTGACCTCGGGCCAAGGTGTCACTCGCTCAGTGTGTGCTGCTGCCCCAGGACACAGCTGGGCCCGGTCTGAGCCCCAGGAAGCCCCACCCACGGGGCTGTTCAATTTCTCCAGGCCTTTTTGTCGAGGCAGGAACGGGCGCTAAGCGCCGTGACTGTCGGTCGTCGTGGCGGACCTTCTCCCTCTGCGCAGACGACGCTGGACCTCACGGCGCACCCCGCTCTCCCCCGGCACGCCCTCTCCCCCTGCGCACGCCGCCACAGCACGCAGACAAGCGCCTGCGCAGCAAAACGGACCCTGCCCTCTGTCCGTAGCCAGCGCTGGGGAAGCCACCGTCCACGCCCGTCACGCCTGGCACAGCAAGAGCGGAGACGCGGGGATCGCGCTGCCGCGACTTCCTCCTGGCAGAGCGCGGCGTCGGTTCCTCGCGAGGAAGATTTCTGTCATCCGTGACACCCGGTTCAAAGCTGCGTGTTCCAGGTTCACGCTCAGGCACGTCCTGCGGAGCCTCAGACACGCACGGAACGGACATGATGTCACCAAGAGTCTAACACAAAGAAAAGAGTCCTTTGCGAGAGCTCGATTTCCCGACTGCGCCGTGGGTGTGAGCGACAGTGCAAAGGTCAACCGCGCTCACCCCCCGACCAAGGCAGGTCGGAGCGTCCCCGTCAGACGGCGACGCTGCCCCGCGTCCACGACCGCAGACAAGCACGCGTCGGCTGGTCACGTCAGACGGGAGCAGAGACGTCGACTCCAACGTAACGAACGCACAGAGCTGCCGAGGAGGGGGCCGGGCCCTCCGTGCGGGCGTCCGGAAGGTTCTGCGTCCCGGTCCCGTGTCCAGGACTGGCTATGTCACGGCCCAGACCCTATGTACATGATGCACCACGTCACGGCCTGGTCTAGGCGCGGGTCAAACACACCCCATGTCATGGCTCCGGGTTCCACGTGCAGCACATATGACATCCCGGCCACGGCCCCACACAGCTTGTGGCCTGCTGGAGCTTGTGGTTCCCTCATGCACGGCCGCGTGGACCAGTCCTGTCCCACACGGCACAGTGATGCTCTGGACGCCCGCGCTGCTCTCACGGATAAACTCTACATCTACCGCACACGCCAGCCCCTCTCCACTCCCAGCCATGAAACACCACGGACGTGATCCACACGACGAAAGGTGCGAACCGTCAGGGAGGACTCAAGTATGGGTACAAAGCCTGAGGATCACCCTGGCTCTGCCTTGGGGAGAAACAAACCCTCCGTGAGCCTGGCGTGTCACGGGGACCTGAGTATCTAGTGATTCCATGCTGGTGTAGGCAGGGCTGGGGCAGGCCCTCTCTGGTGATGCTACCTGAGAGCTATGTGAGCCCCTCCTAAGAGGCTGTCTGGGTCCCTAGGCGCCGTGACCTGGGTGAGCACCTCCTAAGAGGGTGTCTGGTCCCTGGGTGCCGTGACCTGAGGTTCAGCAGGAGGATGTGACGCAGAGCCGCGGTGCAGGCAGCCAGGTTGACAGGGCACAGCCCTGGGCAAAGGGGAGCAGAGGGGAAGCCGGGTGACGGGAGGGCTGCCGAGGCCCCACCACCGCGGCGCCCCCCTGGAGGGAGGCTGAGGCTGCTTGGGCAGGCGGGGATCAGAACACGTGAGCAGGGACCAGCCCACACTGGCCCGCTGTGTTGGTGACGACAGGTTGAGTCACCAGGTAGGTGTGACAGCAGTGATACCACAAGTCATGGAGCCACAGAGACAGCTCCGACCTCTAACTGCACCAGAGCCAGCGGTTCCTCCCCTCGAGCCAGGACCGGGACGTGACCTCCTGAACCCCGCACTCTCGGAGGCGAGGGCCCGCTGGCCGGGAAGCTCTGGCACTAACCCCGTCAGAACATGGCTGCCCATCAATGGTCCAGTTTGAAGCCCCCCAGTCAGGCCCTGCCCAGCCAATGTTCCGGAATCCTCTCCCTGCCTCCGGAGCCAGTGCGTCTGCCCCAGAGCCCAACTGGGAGGGACGTGTGAGCCCCTCCTGCCCCCTTGCTGAGCGGTTTGGCAGCCAAAGCCTCCTCTTCTCAAGAGCGGGTGCCGTACGTACCGGCTTCTGCACACATCGGGCCCACGTGCTCTACAGCAGACACGGCGTCCGGACAGTGGGGCTCGTGCAACACGGGACGGGCACATGCGACGGGTGCGGACACAGGGCCTCGGCGAGAACCGTGCAGGGTGACGGCCGGACGCCAGATGTGGACCCACCGCCGGGGCCGGTGGTCTTGTCCTGGGCGTCAACAGAGGCTGCCTGTGGGACGGGTCGCACGTCACCCCTGCAGGGACAGCGGTGCTGGCACCCTCCTGAAGGGGTCGGAGGGAGGCGCCTGAGCACGCACACGGGCCAGGACCACGCAAGGCACGGGGGGCTGCGGCCTCCTGCACGGCCCCTCCAGCCCTTCTGCCGGGCACCCCGCTCGGCACCTCCCAGACCTCTCACTGCACCACAGCCGACGCCAGGCCAGCGCACGTCTCCCGCCCCTTCCTCGTCCAACTCTCAGACGCTCCCACCACGCTGGCACGGCTTCCCCTGGACGCCCTCCCTGGGGTCTCCGCAACCCCTCCAGGCCCAGGGCTGCCCTGTCCTCGCCCCCCTCTGAGAGGTGCCTGAGGGGTGCCCGGTGCTCGCTACCCGGGGCCGCCCCACATCCAAGCGGACGTCCCCGTCCGCGCACTGTCCCAGCTTCTCCCGAGGCAGGGACCCTCCTCCAGGCTCCACACGGGAGTCCAACCACCCACCGCCCTGTTCCCTGGGACATGCACCCATCACCCTGAACATGGTACACCCAACACGCCATCACCTACAATCCGGCATGCCCAACACGTCATCATCTAGAACCCAGTACACCCAACACGCCATCACCCACAACCCAGTATGGCCAACATGCCATCACCTAGAACGCAGTGTGGCCAACATGCCATCACCTAGAACCCAGTACACCCAACA